CGTTTTCTTTGGCGCAATGTGGTTTCCCGCTTTGGCGTGCCCGTACACCTCATCAGCGACAATGGCCGCCAATTCGTAAGCCAATACTTCCAGAACTTTTTGGCCACGATCGGGACAACTCACGTCCGATCGTCGGTGGCTTACCCGCAGGGAAACGGTCAAGTGGAGAACGCGAACCGGACGATTTTGGAAGGTCTGAAAAAGAAGTTACACTCGGCTGGTCGTAGTTGGGCCGATGAGTTGCCATATGTCTTATGGACTTATCGGACGACCCCGAGGGAAGCTACTTTGGAGACCCCTTTCGCCCTGGTTTATGGAGCTGAAGCCAGACTCCCGATCGAGGCTTGGATCCCGACTGATCGAGAAAGAACCTACAATGCGGAGGAGAATGAGCATGCAATGGCCGTGGACCTCGACGCGGTCGAAGAAAAAAGAGAGCTAGCCGCTCGGCGCATGGCCGAGTATCAGAAGCGCGTTAAGAGTTCTAAAGACGTTCGGGTCAACCCTCGTTATTTTCAGGTTGGAGATTATGTTCTGCGACGAAGGGAGGCTAGTCAACCTTTGGAGGGCGGAAAGTTAGCTAAAAACTGGGAAGGGCCGTACATCATCAGTGCGATCATACGGCCGGGTACATACCGACTGGAGACGACAACCGGTCGGGTAATCGAGGGGACTTGGAATTCCGAGCACCTCGTTATGTTTAGGCATTAAGCCTCTTTTTTGTAATCTTTGGACGAAGAGGGGGCTTGACCTGCGTGTAGGTCCCGGTCGTCGTTTGTAATTAAATTCCTATGTTTGTAAATATTTACTTAGCCGCCTGCGAGCGGGACGGATTAATGTATATACGATCGGTGATTGCTCGACCGTTTGCATATGGCGGCCTGATCGATTATTTTCTATACCTTCAATGCATGCAGATCAATTTATCTTCAAGCTACACCGACCAGGCGAATCTATCGACCGGTCAGATGCGCTCCACATCGGCGGACATTCGAGTCACGCCATTGATCGGGGAAGCCAGGAGCCCTCAGCATATCCCCGATCCGTCCAACTTCTGTCCACTATTGCACCCACTCGTGCCTCGAGGGCACAATAGTGTGGGGGCTGGGATAAATGAAGTGTTGATAGGCCCATATCGCTCGGTATATCCTGACCGTGGGGCTTACTTCTTTTCGGAAAATTCGTCAAGGCCGGGAGATCGGGTAAACTCGGTCGGGTTGGCCAATTTTACGACGAAACATCAGATGTGCGACCAAGCCATAAGGCCCTAAGGTCGGGCGTTAGCAGGGTCGAGTATTGCAAGACCGGGCCTGAAGGCCGGGCGGTCGAGCGATTGAGATCAGTGTGTGCTCGAGGACGAAAGGGATAAGTTGGACAAAAAAATTCTTAATTTTATTAATCAGCAAAAGTGCCCGGTACAAATTCGGGACCGGGCTCCCGATCGATGTCCCTTTACAAAAAAACAGAAGAAGCTTATCCCTACTTCTTCGCTTCCTGAGCTCCAGCAGCTTCCCGAGCTCCAGCAGCTTCCTTCTCGCTCGCGGCGGCTGCAGAAGACCCGCCTTGCTCGGCTGTTTTCTCTTTTGGGCTGAAGGGAGAAGGACCGGGATCGGCCAAGTCCGGGGGCAGCGTCGAGAGAACCAGCTGAAGGTCCTCCCCCTCGAGAGCTTGCTCCATCCGGGTACGAGCCCGCTCGAGCATCTTCCGCTGCCCGGCCTTGAAGGCCCACCGCCCGAACGAGAGGATCAGATCCTCCCCGACCTTTGTTCCCCGGGCTGCTGTGAGGAAGGCTGAGCCCGAGTCGCTGTCTTTGAAGACCGCTTGCGCCAACTCGCTCGGGTTACCGAGCTGAGCCTTCAGCTGTTTGGCCTCCTCGATTGCCCGATGGGCAACCTTCTCCGCCAGGGCCCGGTCCTCGTTGCCCTTTTTTAAGGCCTTTTGAGCCTTCTCGAGCTCGGCTTGGAGCTCTTTAACCTCCAGAAGGCGACGGGCGGCCGTCTTCTTGTGGTGGTCGGCCTCCTCGGCCAGCATGGCCCGACCCTGTAATAGCTGGGCCGCTCGGGAGATCTGCAAAGGCAAAAACAGTCGGGGTTAGCCCGGTCGAAGGCACTTGCACAAAAGATGGATAGCTAAAGAAGGCTTACCTCGGCCAGATCATAGCCGATCCTCTCGACTACCTGTGTGGGGGTCATCTTCCCCAGATCTTCTTTGGCCCGCCCCGCATTGCCAATCCGGGCCAATATGGACGAAGCGTCCCTTTCTCGCCCGACCGAAGGGCTCGGGCTGCGTTGTTCACGGCGGCGTTTCATGCCGCCCACCTCCCTCACGCCCTGCTCGGGCACCTTCTCTTTTCCCCGGGCGACTTCCACCCGGGTGATCAGGACGTCGGAGGGCTCGACGACAAAGCCCTCGCCCGTCGTCACGGTCGAGGTACTTAGTGGTCGGGCCGAGGGAATCTCCTTTTCCCCGGCGGGCTTCGCCTTCGCCTTCTTCTTGCCACCAAGGGAGATCTTGGCGGGCGGGGGAAGGGGGGCCTCTTCATCACCGAATTCTGCCATAGCTGCAAACAAAGAGATCAAGTTAGTGTGATCGAGGCATAAAGTTAAGTCGGGAGGGTTAGCTCGAGTTAAAACCTTTCTTCGTTCGCCTCGACGGTTTGGCGACCGTCACGCCCATCGGCACGGGCAGGTATTTCTCCTGTAGCTCGTATGTAGGGGGCGGGAGTTTAGCCGCCTCGAGACTCTCAGCCGTTCGGAAGATTGTATACTCGTGCAGCTCGCTCGAGATCCGACTGACCGTCTCCCTGAGCGCTTGCGTCTCGTCCGGCACCACTTGTTTCCGAAAGTGGGTGCTCCAAGCGCGGTCAACCGGGAGAATCCAGGGGTCGTATTTGAGGGAGAAAATCCTATTCTTCCACCCCCTGTTGTTCCCGGGCAGGCCTCTGATTGCGCACATATCGGCTCGGGACTGTAGCATCAAGAACCCGCCCCCGTAGCTGCCCGGGAGAACTTTGACTTGGTAGATGAAGTTGAACAGCTCCATCGTACAGGCGGCTTCATGCCGAGCGCATATCTGCGGAAAGCAGGCGATGATCCGGTGCGCGTTGGGGCAAATCTGGGCCGGGACGACCCGGTAGTAGGCCAAGAAAGCGTTCAGGAGGGGGGTGAAGGGAATGGCGATCGGGGCCATCAGGGAGTCGTAGTGCATCCCGATCCATTTGCCCCGATGCCGATCGATGACATTCCCTAACTTCCGGCTCGTGTCAAATTCCACCCGACCTACGAGCCTTTCGGCAATCCTAGCCGCCTCGCCTTTGGTTAATCGGCTCGTTTGTTGTTCGACATTCTCGCTGTTCAGGAATTCTAACTCTGTTGCGGCTGGGGCGCTTGGCCCAGCTATGTCTTCCTCGGCCGGCTCGGGAGCAGGTTCCGGGTGGTCCCCAACCACCCGGATAGGCGTTTCCCTAACGCCTTCGGTCGGAGATCCTTGTCTCCCCGACGTGGTTCCTTCTTCTTCTTCTTCTTCGCCAGAGCTCCCCGATCCGCTTGAGCTAGAGCTCGACGACCCGGATGAGCTGGACGACGTGTCTTGTGCGGCGGCCTGCTCGGGGGCTGGCGCCGGTCGGTAGATAGCTTCGGGGGAGTAGGACATGATGTCCACCTCCTCGTCGCTGAGATGCTCGACCTCTTCGTCATAATCCGCGATCGAGGCATTCTGACTGTCAGAGTCCGTCATTTCGATCTACCTAAAGGTCGGTCGGGGTTAGTAGAGGACTTAGAATGTCCGGGACAGTTAGCTGACCTAGAAGTTCTACCTAAAATGAAAGCGTAAAGTAAAAGAAGGGTTGAGAACTTACCGAATGAGGGAACTTCGCGGATGAAAGCTTGAAAGTCCTTGCTCGACTGCCTTGCAAAGGTGCTCTGCTCGGGACTCTCTGAGGGTACCGATTGAAGCGGAAGAGTGAGGAAAGTTCAAATGAGGGCCTCAAGGGCCTATTTATAGGAGGGCATTTAGGCGGGAAAAGAGCCCACTTGCGTGACACGACTGGCGCTGACTCCGAGGCGACGGTTGCAGTCGCAGAGGCCGGCAGTGGCCGACACGTGGCGAGGAAGGGAATGACAGCTGGCAGGTCGGCTTGGTGGCTGACGGTTCGGCTTCTTCATCCCGTCCCGTTTTTTCCCGAGGGATCAAAAAGACCCGGGCTGGGGGGCTTTTGGTAGGGAATGTCCCGACCGACATAAGCTCCACCACGACCGACTTTGCCTTTGTCTTTTTCTTCTGATCTTTGCAGGTAGCAGGTCGGGCTTTTTCATGAAGACCCCGGTCGGGAACGGCCGGAAGTTGCCCGAACGCTGGTGTCGATCACCGAGCGGTAGCCCTTTGACGAGAGAGCTGGCGAAAGGACGCGTGGCGGCTCTTCATGATGACAGACAGGGCACCCGGGAGGGTGACACGTGGTGGCTACGTGGAAGACATGCCGAGCGGCCGGAATCCTGTCCCCGGCACGGCGGCTATAAATACCCACAGTAGCTACAGTGTAGTGGACTTTTGGACGATCGATAGGTTGTTGTTAGAGAATCCCGACCGCAGTCAGTCGGTACTCAGAGCAACCAAGTAGATTGTACTTAGGGCCTTTACCGTGATCAATAAAGACATTTACTTGCTTTATTTGGTCTCGGCTTATTTCATATTGCTTACGTATAATTAGCAGTACCATACATGTATTCCCCAATCTTAGTTTCTGATGTGGCAGATTCTAGTAATTTTTTTTTTTTTTAATGTAGGTCCTAATACAAATGTCTACATCAAGAATTAGTGCGTGGAAGTACAATATGGGATTACATGTAGCATTTTCCTACCAAGAAAGTGACCAAAATGATGAGTTTATTCGTTTTCAAGACTGAGTGTCCTTACCAGCCTTAAAAATGACTCCAATACCATAGGGTTGGAAATTAAAAGAAATGGTAATGGCAGAAAAGGAGAAAGTGGTAGTTTATTTCTTTTGGAACGGAAGAACATTACAGGACAATGAAGAGGATGAATACATCCGAGTTTTATTTTACAATGATGAAGAAAAAAAAATCTACAACTTGGAGGAAGGTTTTTTTGAGCTCCGACTTGCTATGAATTCTTGCATCTTCTGAAATTGCTCCTTAGTCATTCCATTATAATACTCATGCGCTCTCTCCTGGAGAAAAACAATGATCACATTGTGTCAACTTTCAATCAAATTCATATAGAATGCAGGCGGGGCGGGGTAATGGAACCCCTAAAGTGGAATACAAAGGTAATTTTTGGCAACGTTTCAGTTAGCACGAACTCAGCCATATTATTTTTAGGTGATCTTAAATGATGAGAATATAGAATGAAGCATCAAGACAAACAGAATATGATGGATGGACAGCCTTCCAACTAGTATGTGTAGCTATCACCAAGAAGAATGAAGGATCTGGGCTTAACCAAATTCAGAAAAAAAAAAAGGATCCAAGAGAAGAAGACATTTTTGTTTACCTTCTCAAGAGCAAGAGCACGATCCAAGTCAAGTTTGAAACCATCATTTATTACTGCCTTGTACCTTAACACCATGTCCTGGTTGTTCTTGATTATTGCTTCTGCAACCTGTCGAGCCTTTTTCAAGAGTTCACTTCTTTCAACAACATGGTTCACAAAACCCAGCCTTTCTGCTTTGTCAGCAGTTAGAGGTGTTGCAGTAAGTGACACTTCACGAGCTTTGTTGGGCCCTATTACACGTGAAAGCTTCTGAGATAGACCCCAGGAAGGAAATATCCCAAACCTGCAGAAACAATAAGAGTGTCCATTGATAGATTCATCTGACATACATGAAACCATTCAACTTACTGTTATTTTTACACAAATGACTACAGAAGTTTTTGCAACCATAAACCATTCATGGTAGGGGAGAACTATTTGTCTATTTCCTACCTATTAAAGATTTTCTTTTCACCCCCCCAAAAAAAACCTTAAATAAAAGTACCACAAAGAAATCCCAAAACTCACATAAACACAAAATTTATACCTTAAAGAGGACCAAATCTGAGCACCCTAATCATGACTATTTATAAATCATGTTATCTCCTGTTTGGAATTGGAAAACTGATACTGTAGCATATCATCAATTTCTATAGGACAGTGACAAATCAAGGCAACATTGAAGCAGATAGATTGTGTTCTAGGACTAGCACTCAAGAAACAATTCCTAGAGATATTATAAGTACTCAATGCCTTAGCGGTCGGTATCCATCTTATTCAAAGTGGTCAGTCCAACCAAATACTGTGAGAGTACATTTAAAAGTGATAAAAATCTTACTCTTTTCAATCCCATAGGATAGGGTGAGTGATTAGGTGTGGAGGTGAATGGGGTAGGTTTGTTCAAGGGACAGTATCTACTAGGAGATGCAGAGAGCTTTGGGGCTGCTAAAAATTCTCTCAAGTTTAATGCTCTGAACAAACTGAAGCCATCTAAAAATTGATCCAATTGGTCTAACCCAGGAATGATCGATCACAGAGACAAATCCAAAGCAAAGGCATTTTACAAAATATTTGTAACATCAGCATTAGGATTCAAATTGTAACATCAAGCATCCAAATTGAGCTAATTTGACAAAACTAAGAATGAGAGACAAACATGAAAGCGGGTAAATTGCATATTATAACACAACATAGTGCAAGCAACGATAACTAGAAAAGGAGTCTAGGATGAAACCTTGCGTGAGTATCCATGAACTTAGCATCGTTGGAAGCAACCAATATGTCGCAAGCGAGGGCGATCTCAAAGCCAGCAGTGACAGCAAAACCGGCAATTGCTCCGATGATTGGTTTAGGGCAGAGTTGCATCTGTGCCACAGGGTCAGCCTCAACGTCCTTGACGTCACCCTTGAAAACATCCTCAGCGGCTGTCAAGTCGACTCCGGAGCAGAAAGAAGCGCCGGAGGCGGTGAGAATGATGACCCGAACCGATTTGTCTGCGCTCAGAGACTTAAAACCTTGAGCTAGATCCGCCATCATGGCCTTCGTTAAGGAGTTGAGCGACTTAGGTCGGTTTATTATGATCCATCCAACGCCGTCGGGGTCGCGATTCACCACGATCAGCTTTTCTGGCACCCGGCTCTCCATTTTCTTTTCTCGATTTACAGAATTACAGTACAACAACTATCTATCCTTATAGCACTCCCACCGTATGTATAATTTATAAAACGTGCTATTGCCTGGAGGTTGCGTTGCGTTGCGTGTTGGAATGCGCGCCCTATCCAGTCATCTGGGAGAGGCGAGGTTGACTCCAATTTTTTCTTTTTTTTTTTTTTTTTTTTGGTTCCTTCCAAAGAGGTGATGGTTATCAATTCACTTCTTATGATTTAATTGCTCGCTTGCAAATTAGCTACTTATAAAGCAAATTTATGTGTCTGAGGTAATTTAATTTTATTATTAATTCTGGCCTTTTGGGTTAAATTGACATGTGGCTTAAGTTAATGAATAGACTCGTGATCAAAGAAAAGTAGAATTTAGGTAGTGCAATTTGCAGATGGAGAAATGAATGAAGACATTTAATAATTCGTTCAATTATATTCCTAGCTAAATAATGTATATCATCAGCTGAAAGAATATAATATTAATATATGATGACTACATAGTGTATATGTGGATGAGGGGATCTGATCTGGATCAGGCGGAGGATGATAAGAGTTGTCTGATATTAAGCGGCCAAATATGATGGGAATCGCCGTCGATTAGGCGGTTTGCTATGATGGTATTAGCAGCATCCGTGGGATGGTAAGGATCCCAAAACACATACTTTGATCTGTCTGGGCATACTTTAGATGAGGGACCGCATGGAAGCAGACCCCCATATTTCCCAGCCACATAGCAGCATGCCGAATTTGCATTCTCAAACCCTGCGCGCATACCATTAATAATAATAATAAGCAAGTTATTAGTTTATATATGTTAAATAATTCATGGATATATATATATATATATATATATGATGACCGTATAGTATAGGTATAGTACTATACCGTATGCAGTGTAGTTAGTGATGATGTCGTCTACGATCCTGTAGACATCAGCGTACACAAAAATTGATCCATCAAGATTGGAGTTGAGCTCCGTCACAAGACTCCTGAGCTGGGTGTTGAATAACTGAGCTAAATGGTTTGGCAAAGAAACGCAGTCATCTCCGGCGCCGGGATTTATGTCCCTCTGATATGGAATACACCCAATAGGCCCAACATTTGCCACTACCACCTTTCTACCTCCCATCATGTACACTCTCTGCATGCACCATATATATATATATATATATATATATATATATATATATATGCATATTTAATTTAATTTAATCTAATTAAGCCGGCCTGCCGGCCACATAATTACTTAGTTGTAGCTAGGTGCGTACAGTTAGCTGGGTTCTGAATTTGGAGATCATGGCAGTGACGAATACTTGTGGAGGGACTAAGTCGCGCTCCAGTGTTGAGACAACCGGGGTGAAGTAATTGTTGATGAAATCATTTGAGCCTATGGTTACAGAAAACATTGCGTTCTCCAATACTCTGCGTGCTGCTCTCCAACCTATGCTTCTTATTACATCTTCTCTCGTGTTTGCAAAGTTGTCCAGTTGTGCATCCAAGTTGATCCTTCCACCCTACACATACATACATACATACATTGTATCTGTCAGTTAGTTGTTCCATCCATATGATCAGATCAGATCATTAAGAAATACTAATAATGAATATATGGAGATATATGGATCTATGGAGGAGGCCGGATCGGAAATCATACAAATAAATTTCCAGTTTCATTAAGAATACCCGCAGCACCGGAGGCAAAATTGACGCCTTGCAGAATCACGGGACCGCTCGTCGTGGGAGCCAAGTACGGCGGAGTAAACCCAGCTGCAGCTAACCCCATTTCCTGTCCTGCATGCAGCAATATAATATAATGCTCATCAGAATTAAGCTAGCTAAGAATAGAAAAAACATGCGTCCGTGCTAACGTTATAGTTACTAAGAAACAACTAACTTAACCGCTTGCCAGTATGTATGTAACTTGCCTATGATATCAACTATTGTTCTTCCGTTGGTGTATCGACCTGTTGGCATCCCCAAATCAATCCCATTAGGGACATAGTTGGCCTTGGAAAGAGTTGCAATGAAGTTATTATTACCCGCATCAACCAATGAATCTCCGAACACAAAATTGGCAGGGATCATCACTTTCTCAGCTGATGATGAGCAAATCCCTTGCCCCCACACCCAAAACAACAATAATACTATTTTCAAACTTTGAAACACTACACTAACCAAATACTCATGAGTTCGCTGCTGCATATGCTTTCCCATTCCCGATCCCATTCCAGCTTACAAATACAAATCAAACATATATGTATATATGGTGATGCCTGCCGCCTAAAGAATACGTACTATATATATAGGGAGATCAGAGATCAGAGAGATACTATATATATTGATTATTGACAAGCTAAGCTAAGCTGGCAGTCAAAAATAGAATAGCTAGGTAAATTAATTAAATAGGAAAGGCAAAACTGGCAAATTAAATGAATATATATAATGGCATGATGAAGAAGAAGGCAGTGAGAAGTATATATATATATATATGTCAAATTGGGCAAGCTAAGCTAAGCTAAGCTTTACAGTTTACACATACACTAGCTAGCCTAGCCTAGCCTAGCCATATATGGTGGCCTGGCCTGGCGTACAATTATTGAATATGATACATAAGGTAAAACTCATATCACCACCCACTGCACTGCACATGAAACCTTATGGTATAGTTAATATATATAATTAATATAATGCTTCTTCTACATCAAAATTAAATTAAACAACGATATAGATGGATGGAATTGAAGATGAAAGAAAGTTGTGGGTGGGTTATGGCGGCCGGCCAATTAGCCGTAGTTGCCGGGAAAATATATAGTAAGTTGTGTTCGATCAGATCAGTCATGAGAGTAATAAAAATAACATAAAATTAAAGAATCCCAACGGCCAACATCGAGAGAATTGAATGCAGTCACTTGGATTAGCAACATACCATTTATTATGTAGATAGATAGAAATTGCAGTTGCGCAGCCTAGCTACCTAGCCTATCTATTTATAAACATTACATATATTATATATTATATATACTGTTGAAGACTTGAAGTAGAGGGATAGAGTACAGTGGTGGTAATTTAAGGTGGTCATTGAATACAAACAAAGCTACCTACTATACGCTTCTTAATTGGCAGTTCGATCTGTTTAATAACTTGGATCTCAAAAACTGTCTGCCACCGCCAAATAAATGGCCAAAACTCTGAAAATGTGAAAGAGTAAAGGAGGTGGCATTACATATCAATTCTCATTTTGAAATTTTGTGCCTAGCTAGCTTGTTTCTCCTTCCCAATGTTAGTTCCTTGTGTACGTATGCTTCACTTTAAAGTTTCCAAATTTTCACGTCAAGCCTAAGAGGATGAGGATCCATCTCGTCTCTTCTCCAACTTACTTATATGGGTGGTGGATACATTCTTAAAATTTTCAAAGCCAGCCCAGCCCAGCCCAGCCCGCCCACTTGATTGAATTTAATAGACGACGACTAAGACCAAGCAAAAATGTCATGTATATACTTGTGAATAAGTGAATTTGAGTCAGATGCATACACTCAACTGCAAATGGCCGGTTGGACTAGAATAGTAGGATTTACAGAGGTTCTGAATGATTCCATACTACTCCGTATAAAAGCTGCAAGCATCCAGAACATGAATTCACTCCCACAAATATATAATATAATATATAATAATAGTAGTAGTAATAATAATAATAATAATAGGCCACCACTCACTCAATTCATCAACTCATTTGAGATAGCTGTTTTTGCCCTGTATGTGTCACTCTAATTTCCCTGCATTGGCAAACACCAACTAGGCATATATATGCCTTCAATTTTTCGTTCGATCATTCCGACAACACAAGCAAATTTTGCTTTCAATTAATGGCGCCCATGCCACCCACCCAGCCATCCGCCATCCACCGACACCGCAAACTTTGAGAACCACTCACTTCATCTGTCGCAATCTCCTTGCTCAACTTCAACATAAACACACACCAATTTCATCTATGACTCCTTTTGGCTACTCTCCGTTGCAGCATTGCGAGCCGCTTGAATCTGAATAGCACACTGCCTTTGCAGATCTTTAAACTTATCCATCAATTCCTGGAAGGATGGACGACACTGTGGCTCGCTGAATTCCACAATGTTGAAATTCATATCAGTTCAGTTTACATTAAATATCAAATCACATTATGCATGTGTTAGTATATCAACTCACCACACACATATCAAATCACAAATCACAACTACTTTGTATATGCTATATTGCTAATAAGAAAGACCATCACTTCAATGGAAACAGAATAAACAGATACTAACCTATGCCAGCAGCTCCCGATTATAGAAGCCCACTGTGGATCCACATCCTTTGGAATATCTAGCCGTTGGTTCATGAATCCTACTGCCCCAATCACCTTCAATTGCCACAAAGTTTTGTTTTTTTAGCATTTATACATCTGCCCACCACTTCATTAATAACTTCTCTACATCGTGTCTACTCTGATCTAAACTGTGTGGAAGATGAATCATACCTGCATCGTGTTGAGGTTTTCCCAAGGGATCTTTTCAGTAGCAATTTCCCACAATATCACCCCAAAACTGTACACATCAGCCCTACATCCATACAAACAACACATCATGTCAACATCTAAAATTCAAAACTTTGAATAGTTATCTTATCAAAAGAATATTAAAGCTCGCGGCATCACATACTTCTCATCTGAAGGCTCATTGCGAAGAACTTCCGGAGCCATCCATTGAGGCTGCAAAACAGAACTTGAGATCATTTTTCTTAATGAAACGAAAAACAGCATATTAAAAGGCAATTAAAAAGCAGAGGTTGTGAGTTCCAGTGAATACCGTTCCTTTACCCGTCTTTGTTGTCAGATATGTTTCATGTTTGACCCTTGACAATCCAAAGTCCCCCACCTGTTAAGATCATAAAATGAGATTATTTTGAACTATCAATGTTTCTAGAACCTCCAAACAACATGAAATGAAGCAAGGAGATTGACTTGGCAGGTAAGCTACAACTACTCATGATGAAAGAAAGAAAAACAAAATCAGACCTTCACAGTCCAGTTCTTGTCAACAAGAAGATTTGAAGACTTCAAATCACGGTGAACAAGTGGTGGGTTGAGATGATGGAGATAATTCATCCCTCGTGCCTGCAAACAGAAATATAAAGAAACTTATGAGAACTTTTATGAAATGAACTACATCAATACTTACTAATTTCTCAACAAATAAACACAAAAAGATGCTAGACATAGTAGCAGAAAAGAGAAATATGAAATTATGAATTAAAAAAAAAAATAAAAAATTGAATGATGATCTGATGGGAACAAACAAAAGAATGGAGACTTTCAGGGCTATATTGTACACGCAGCATGTTGATTACAAATAGTGAATATGAAATTCTCAAGGTGAACCAGTTAGAATCCTACTTCTATACCCATGGAAGATCATTCATGTTAATCCGTTTGATTTCTAGCTATATCGGAAAACATATACAGATGTAAAATCAGGAAAAATGGCTTGATAAGGAATCTAAAAGATGGGGTTGTATGATGACTCCCTAGATGCAATTGCAGGAATATGCTCCAAGATAGGAAGTGCTGACTTTTTTTTTCCAAAATAAATAAATAAATAAGAAATTCCAAGACATGGTTCATTATTAAATCAGTCTAAACATCAATGTTTGGGTGAGGATTCCAGCTGGATAGTGAAATTCGGATCCAACTTTAGCTCGGTCATTTTATCAGACTAATTTTCCAACACAGCTCTCTGTACTTGGGCAGCCACCATAGGAGTTACACAACTTAGTTTTCTTTCATTTGCTAGGAGATATGCCTCCCAAGTTCAGCTGTATGAAAATGACAGCCTTCTACCTTTTATAATCTGTTTTTTGTTTGATAGAATGTTGTAACCACAACTATTCCCACCCTAAAATAAATAAGTAAATAAATAAGGAAAGGAACTATGGTACTCACTATATCTAAAGCCATGTGGACACGCCGTCTCCAATCTAATTTGGATGTATTCCTCTGAAGTAACCTAAATAAACTTCCTCTTCATACATGAGAAGCACAATTCTTTTTGTAGGTTAGTCACAGAACTAGAGATTCCAATATCAGAATATAGTTTATTAGAAATGTTAATGATAAATGCCAATTGCTATGGGAGTAGCCAAAGAAAAATAAGAAGGGAAGAGGATTGGAGCAAATAGAAAGTTGATGACTGACCTTGGGAGGAACTCGGTAACAATGCAGAGACGTTGAGGAGAAGTTACTGCACCCATGAAAAGCAGAATATTTGGATGTCGAAGTCTTTTCATTAGTGACACCTTCAGAAAACATCAGCAAGATATATCACTAGGAAATTTGTGAAAGTAGAATTATCAATTGAAAGAGAGAAACGGGGGATCCATTTGATTTATGCAAGTTCCCGAAGCATAAATTTAATGTTCAAAACCAATATTTTTCAACAAGGTTAAAACTCATCTGTTGAAGTTCATTGTTTTTTTTTAAAGAAACGCATCTGCTTTAATTTAATGGGTGATACAATGCAATCACATTAGTCAAACACTGAAAGAAGAACACTAATTGGACTGCAAATAGCTGGAACTCATCCCCAGAAACTCTATGATAGCTTGAAATTCACAAGTAGTGCTCTGCAAAATGAATGAATAACAAATATACTCACCTCCTGTCTGAAGGAAAAAATAATATCATCAGAATATTCTTGCTTGGAAAATACTTTAACAGCAACATCCTGAAAAAATATACATAATTTCACTTCAATAGAGTATCAGCACATTTCATCATTTTCTTTTGACTTTTCCGATCCTAAAAATAAGTTTGACACATCAGTGTTTCATGTAATTTCACATGAAAACTCAGGCTTAGAGCATTTCACAAATTTTAATTTGAATATGCAGATTACTGAATGCATTGCCCACACAGGTTGCATAAGCTCCTTGGTGAAATATGCTAAACAGTTTAATCACATTTTCCCCAACTTGTGCTAATATACAAATATATAACTTCTGGATGAATTGAACTTGACAAATATTTTTATCTCAATTCAGCAGATAGGAAGTTTTTAAACACATTTTCATGGAAAGAGTTATATTTCAAGGAAGAGTTCAAGGAACATACTGATCCATACCACAGAGCATGATAAACATTTCCACATGAACCTGGGAAAGAGATTGAGGGAAATGTGAGAAAAAGAAGTAAAGAAATTCACACACAAAATACAAGAATCTGTTGACCCTGACAAAGTTTAATCGGTGATATATTCTCAGAAGACATTGAATATTTCTTTAGTTATGAGGAAATATTAAGCTATTCTATTAAATTATTTCTTGGTTAATTCCATTGGAAATGAACATCAACTCAAGAAGAGTTGGCATGAACTAAAATCTTTTGGCAATAATAACCTGTAAAAAGGATATTTCGATACCTTGACCAATATGTTCCCCAATTGTTAAATCCTCCCATAAAATCTCATAGTCCAAGCAATCAGTATCAATGTCAACTTTATTAAGAGCACTACTGCTGGTACTTCCAGCGCTACTCGCACTGCTTGTGCTATTAACATTAAATGATGATGACCATGATCCTGAAGCCTCATTCATGGTGGTGCGATTAATTTCACCCATTTGACTTTCTGGCTTTATTGCCAGATTAGAACTATTTTGAGGCTGACTATAATCATTGTCTTGGTCATTATGTAACCAGGGCCAGCCGAAACGAGTATTTCGTGCCTCAGATCCTTCTTGTTCATTTCCTTTCCATGGCCAAGATAAAGTCCTCTTCTGAATCCATGCTTCTGCCTTTGAAGTAATTATCTTGGAGATCCTAGGTTTACCCTCACTCTCATCCCCAGAATCTCTGGAGTATTTTTCAGGGGAGTCCTCCTTGGAAGCATTAGAGAACACTCCAAATGGAGAAGGATGTATATCTCCTCTTGGAGTACTAGCTCCACTCGAAGTTGCATCCTCTCTGTGATCTGACAAAGCAGAATCGGAGAAAACATGATTGGATTGATGACTATCTACACTTCCACCTTCACGAACCACACCGCTCTCCACAGTTTTTATTTTTGACTTAACCTTGTTGCTCACTTTTGAAGCCTATATGAGTTCACCACAAAGTCAATATGCACATGTTTGTTGGAATAAAAGATAAAAAGAACTATAGATAGCCATATAAGAATACTAACCAAATTGGATAGTTTTGAGGCAATTGCAACTTGCAAAGGTTGCTGAGGATCAAGCCCAAGTTTTTCAGAAGCAATGCTTCTTGCCCTGCTAGAACTTGAATCAGAATCCATCTGCTTTGCCGCAGTGAATGCTGCCTTTGCTTCTTGAAATGGGCTTACATCTGTTGACACACATATCAGCCCAATCAAAGTACCATCATCATCATAGAAAGGGGTATTGGTTGTCATTACAGAAAATCTAATCCCTCGCTTATTCTTCACTGGGAACTGTCCATTCCAACTCTCACCCACGCACACACGACTAATAATATCACCAGCCATATTAAAATCTCGAGGATCCACTAGGAGGTCCATGATACTTCGCCCCAGAGCCTCTGCAGCTGAATAACCATACAGGTGTTCAGCCATTCGATTCCTGCACAAAAATTTCATCCATTCTCTCAAAAATCAAGTAAACTTATTGCTCACACTTCAATCCCACACCAGAAATATCCTAAATGATTCAAATTTAAACCACATTTGAGGCTAAAGAAATTATATTTCTGCGGTGTAGTTAATATGAAAATACCAGATAAAAATCAACGAGTTGAATAATATTCTAAAGAAGCAGTTCAACAGAAAATAGCAAGTGACTGACCAGTAAATTATTCGAGAATTACGATCAAGTATATGCACTGATTGGCCCATTGACTGCAATATATTCAAATATTGTCTATCACTAAATTTCACAGAAGCTGGACCTCCGACACCACAGCTTTCGCCGCCGTCATCGCCTCTATACACGTCTTTACTACTACTCTCCCTCTGCAGCGGAGAAGAATGTCGAAATGAGGCAGAACCCCTTTTCCACACAGCCATAGCGCCACCCTCAAATCCACCATGCCTTCCGCCGCCACCAAGCTTCAACCGCCGCGGCCGTTGCGGGGAGATAGAGTGTGACCTTTGTCTCTCTGATCTGTAATCGTTCGAAACCATGAGCTTCGACATCTCCTCTTTCAAGCGCGCATGCCCTGCCTCCAGCTCCTGGATCTTCTTTAGCAGCTCCTCCGCTGGCGGTACCTGTGACGGCGGCTCAGCTGATGCTGTTGTATTTTCCATTGCAATTCGACTTTAAAAAAAAAAAAAAAATCAAAATTCCACCGAGCTAATATTCTCTATATCCAAGTTGACTCTCTTCTCTCGCCCCCTCGCTACACATATTTATGGAAGAATTGATTGAATGGATCTACAGCTACAATCGCTTGTGGCCTTGATTACCTATGAACAAAATTGTAGCTAAAATGAAGAAACTGTGAGCTGAGGAAGCCGCCTTTTTGCGATTTCTCTCTCTCTCTCTCTCTCTCTCTCTCTCTCTCTCTCTCTCTACTCGTCGTTATTCTCTGTACGCTGTAGCTTATTGCGCTTTCTCTCTCTCTTCTGGTTGTGGATCATTTCATTGGTCTTCTCTTTCTATGTTTTTCAACTGCACGCAGAATTACTTCAATTAATGTAGTTATGACCGCCAAAAATGTTTTGACCATTCACTGCGGCGGCGCGTGTAACCGTACGCATCACTTCAGCCAATAATGTGTTGATAATTTTGCTTTTTTCTCAAATTTCAGTTTTTCCTTTTCCTTTTCTTTCTGGTCGAGGACTGAGGACCGCCACTACGGCTTTCTTATAGGACGTGGACTCCATTTTTTCTCTTTTTCAATTATACTCCCTAACTTAAAACGCCTTTTTCAAGTTTTTAAACACACTTCTCCCGTCCACCTTTTTACTTATAATTTATTTCTTTCTTCCTCTCCTTGTCTTCCATTTTTAGCCTATTTTAATAATTAATCTTTATCTTAAAGTGTACTAGTAATCCTGTAAATTATATTTTCCATTCATAACATTTAATATCTCTCTTACAATATACTACAAAGTCATGTGACCATATTACTTATGCACAAAGAAAATGCAATTTTAAAGAAAGAAAATAAGGTACCACCTAGCCACCACATTCTTCTTTTTTTTTTTTTTTGAATAAAAAAAGTGTTAATAAAGTATTATTATTATTATTTACCATATCATTAAATAAATTCTGTTATTTGATAATAACTACAAACTAAACAAATAAGAACAAAAGATATATACTATGAGGTTTAGCGTAGTGATTCATTGTCTGACTTAATGTCATAACTAAAGTTATTCATTAGCCATGGATTGAATCTCTCCCGTACACGGTTAGCTGATTGCGTAACTTGCAATTTATTTTTATATTAATTTTAAAGTCGAGATCTTGTGGTTTTAGTCTTTTAGATTAATTCGATAAAATTAAGATTATTAAAAAGAAAAAGTATATTATATTGGATAATATGATAAGACACTTCCCTCCCTCTTTCTTTCTCTCCAGCTCACTTTTATTGGTATGCGTTTCTTTAGCAAGTTGTAATATGTATTTATTCCTGAATTTTCATTTTCTGTGCCTGTATGAAAATGACTAGTATTTTTGTTTTCATTTTTTTTTTCCTTGTCATGCATACTTTGAATTGAAATATAAAAGCATCCGAGAACAGTGTGTGTATATACATATAATTTAAAATTTTGGTAGGAAAAAAGAAAAAAACTTTTCAACGAATAATTTCCATTTGGTTGAATTATAACATTACTCACTTTGCTCCTCTTGCATAACTAATAATAATTATATAAAAAAAAAAAAAAAAAAAAAAAAAAAAAAAAGATAAACAACTTAGTTGAGTTAGCCGGCGGCAATTTTTCCCTAGGTGACCGGTCGTCTAGGTGTCTACCTAGTGCCTAACTCGGACGAGTTAACTTGTCTATTTCAGTCGAGTCGAATTAATCCAGTCGACTCGCCCTTGCTAATTTGTTTCATTATATATATATATACTGACTTTATTAATGACTTTATTAATTTGAGCCAATTAATTATGAGCAATCCGCCTTTTGTTCGAGTTTTTCCGGTGAATATTTAAAAAAAAAAAATGCAGGTGTTTAGAAGCAAAATTTTTTGTTTCCCTCTTTGAGAAAGAGAGTGGATATGTATGCGTAATGCGTGCACAGCACAACGAAGGGCGTGCACGCTAACAGTAGTGCATGATTGTGATGTACACCATCATCTCTACTATCCATCCCTCAAAGTTTACAATTAATTTTTTCATACATTTCTTTTTCTTTTTTCTCCAAACAAATATGGCCGAAAATTGATGAATTCCCCAGATTTTTCTCTCCAGTCTAAGTAATTAAACATTCTTGTCCGTATTTATCCGTGAATCTTTCAAAACTTTATTAATTATCTAATTAAATGTGCCATTTATTATTGGCATTACTATCCACAACCTCCCTGGTCCAATGTTCATTTATGATTATACTTATCTAAAACCGTTACAAAAAAAGACATCATAAGTTTGAACTAAGCGTAAGATCAAGCTTTGTAGGTGTGACTTGAGTCTATGTATAGAATGGTGTACACACATAATAATAATAATAATAATAATAATAATAATAATAATAATAATAATAATAATAATAATCTAAAAAAATAGAAGATATTTATAGGAGTTGTTAGCATTTTTGTTAATTATATAAGGAATAATTGTTGGCTGAGGTTATCAAATTTGATTTTTTTTTTTTTTTTTTTGGGTTGGAATAATGTAATACAATATACAGCAATATAAAATATGTGTTGTTTTAAAAATATTTCAGTTTTGACTTGAGCAGTTAAATAATAGAATAATAGGGAGCATACGAAACATCATTGTCCGGTAGCCGGTAGGTTTGAACTTTTAACATCTATTCATAGCTAGCTTATGCCGAATTATTTGGTTAGATTTTGACATTTTTTTATTGGAACGTCATTATATTATTATATGATATTATGTGACAATGCATATATGAAAAGTACGAACGATATAAATTGCAATAAAGATTGATATGATAACACAAAAAGGAGAGATATGGAAGTGGGAAATTTACTTATATATTTATTATTTGTGATCTGAAAGAAGAGGAGGTTTGTTTACATATTAGAGTGGTTATTGTTAGAATAAGTGGCAGCCCGCCCTCAAAAATAAAAACATATGGAATAGTTTTGGTGGTTGGATAGAGTAGAGATGGGGAGGAGGATGAGTTTAATAGTATAGTATTATACAACAGTGCTGGGTGGGTGGGTGGCTCAGATCAGAGTAAAAAGGAAAGGAAAGGAAATTACCATATTCAACAATGGCAGAGGCAAACTGCGGGTGCCTGGCAGCTTCATTATTAAACTTTGTTAGATTAGTGCGCCATTAGGGACTGGAGTCTCTCTTCTTGCTTGAGGAAAACCCACTCCCTCCTTCCCCTTTGCTTCTTCCAAATCTTATTATTCCAAGGATAGGATTCACGAGGTACATCACATCACTGCTACTGCTTTTGCTGCTGCTAAGTAGTGCTAACCTAGCCAATAATAATACTCTTTGAACCTCTTCGGGGGATTGGTAGCTCGAGGATGATCAGAAAGTAACATCTTTCTGATTCTCTGATATATTGGACTTCCCCGTTCATAAGCTTTAGTACTTTCCTGCACATGCTCAGCCCTAGTCCTTCTTGACTCACCCATCGACTGCTGTGGAACATGTCTTGCACCAATTCCGGAGGAAGACCTTCACCCGGGCACATTATCCTTTTCCAACAAGGGAACAAACAACATCCATCATCACTAAATATGCCTCAAAATTCAAACTCCAAGTTTAGCAGGTTGTAAAACAAAAAAGACACTGTAACTATGAAGTTAGGACAATACCAACAGCAACTGAAAATATCATCAATCAATCACATACAACCTTTGTAAATTCTTTACTTTTTTAAAAATTAATTCATTCATGCATTTTTCTTCACTAAATGACCATATGCTGAAGGAACTTCAAAGCAATAGGGGAACATGAAACAGGCAGGCAAGTCACAACAGTTATAGTTCAAGTCACTAATATAACAACAATTTTTTTTTATGAAAGGTAAAGTGATGTGTGTACCAAATACCTGAATTCAGTATGCACAACATTTGTGCCATCAGAAACTTGCTTCAAACTAGGGCGAACTTGGATTTCTACCCATCCTCCTGGAACTGGTGCATGGCGTGCCATGTTTAGCAAAAAATTTGCCAGCACCTGCTGAATTCTCACTTGATCGCCATTCACAGCCAGTGTCTTAATTTCTTCTGGAATATCCCGGATAAGTTGGAGACCTCTTTCTCTCAGCAACGACATTACTTGGCTAACAATGGCATCTATTACCTTCCCAAGAAAAAAATCTTCTTTCTCCAGCTCAAGTGAACTGTCAGAAGACTAAATCTTAGTCTATCTTGTACACATAAAAGAACAAATGACTTTCTCTTCTTTATTTTTTTTAAAGGATCACCAAATATTTTATTGAGATGCAGCAAAAGTGATGCAATCATTATAATGTGTAATGTTTAATTTTTAGAAGAGCCAGCAAAAAGATGAATAAAAGCAAGGCATATACTCCAAAATGAGTTAGAAGTTATAAACGATTTTTTCTTCAATTAACAGACCAGCAAGCATAATCAATAACAGAAATACAGAAGCTTACCCATCTTCAATGTTTTCCAGATCAACGTCCATTATAATCTTTGACATTTGTTTCTCGCAAGCAGCACTAGTCTCCAGGAACTGCTTCTGGTCTTCTGTCAAATCTGTTGCCTCCAATAATGAATTTGTAAAGCGTATGCCATTCAGTGGATTTTTAATTTCTTGACAGATGTAAGCCAACTCTTTCATTCTCGAAAAGCATTTATTTTCCTGCTGCCTCTGGATTTTGAGAGCTTGCTGCAATTCAGGACTGGCAATCTGCAAGAAGCAGAAGGCTCCAATAATCTGTCCATCCATATTTGCTCTCTTATTTGCCGTCAAGAGAGCTTGCACGTACTTTCCATTTCGGTCAAAAAATGAAAATGGAAACCTGTCTGTGTCTTGGCCTCCAATTGCATTATGCAATATGATCATAAATTTAGTCATGGCATCTGGACCCCTGAGCCTGCAGCAGCTTCCAAAAACCTCACCAACTAGCAACTTGCCAATCGTTTCACCCCTGCTCCACCCAGTAAGCTTTTCCATGGCAGTATTCCACTCACAGCAGGATGTGTTCTCATCTGAAGCAAATATGGGAGGGATCAGAGGATTGGGACTGTGTACAATAGCCTTGTAATCGCCTTGTATGTGAATAAATTTGTCCATTACAATTTTCTGTCCTGTAACATCTTGACCAACAAAGCACACACCAACAATATTATTTGTATAGTCCTTGCTAGAACATGCATTGACTACTACAAAAATAGCCTTCTTATCTTCCTCAGTGCCAAATGTTCTCAACTTTATCTCTACGTTCTTATCTTCTTCACCTGCAATAATTTAGCAATAGGATTAAGGTCTATGAACAGTCAAGTTTCTTATATTATCAAGCAAGAAGATAGCCATTGGGACTTTCTGGAAAACATACATTGAACTTAATACTCATGTAATTTATGTTTCTTATAACTCAGTTTGTCACATCAAAATCCAAAGGATAAGGATCACTACATGCTTTAATTGTGAATGGCTTAACAGAAGTTCAAAGTAAAGACTAACTCTGGCCAGCATAAAACCTACTTACCAATTAGCATGTCAAGGCTAACCTCTTATGCAACTGTAGAAGGATTACTTTACTTTGTATACAATAGCAAAATGAAAACAAACACAGAACAAAAAAGAACAGAAAGCAATTACCTCTTAAAGCATTAAACAGAAGCTTCTCGGTAGTTTCTTGTGATTCCTTGTGAACTAAATCTTGAATCAACAACTTTCCCATAGCTTCTTCAACCGACAAGCCTACCAACTCAGCAATTTTTGCATTCCACCCATTTATGCGCCCTTCAGCATCTACAGCAAATATGGGAGCTGTAGCAGTCTCTATCAATCTAACCATTTCTCTAGCAACAGAACTCAGTTCATCCATTCCTTGCAACTCCAATTCTCCAGGCGGAGCACGCACAACAGCCTTAGAATTGCTTGCCTCAGCATCCTTAAATGAATCACGTAGGATAAGCTGCAAAGAGTGAATTGCATCCATTTCAGCATTCTCCCAAAGCAAACTGCGACTCTTAACAACTTCCAAAAATGCCTTGAACGAAGAACGTGGATGCATCCTCTGACTATCATCTTTGTCCTCTGGATGATGCTTAGCACCACCCCACTTAATCTCTTTTGCAGTGTGAGACCGGAACCAGAACAAGAAATCTCTTGAAGTTATATAAGCAACTGCCATCCCACAAACTGCATCACCGAGTGAAGCTGCACCAGGATACCCTGCATCAGCTAAACTATCTGTGCTCAACCCAGTTGAGTCACCATGGTAAGTCAATAGCCAGTCAACTATGTCCTTTATCTGGGCTTCAGTAGGTGTCACACCTAAAGGATAATATTTTCCTTGGTAGTATAGTGCAGCTCCATCACATTTGACAAGGTCCATAATGCTGGGGCTCTGTGTAACAATGCCAGAGGGGGCATCTCGCAAAAGCATGTCACACAAAAGCGTTTGCGTCCTTAGAACATGCTTCTCAGAAAATTGTGATGCCAATTGCAGTTCCATGTTCAACTGCAGACCAAATGCCTGCATAAGAAATTCACATGCATAACGGAGGGGGAAAGGGATGCACCTGGCAGAAGTGTGATGCCCAACAACCAACCCCCATAGCCTCATTGAGCTTCTCCCTCCTACGGCTTCCTCATCACTACCGTTAATAACAACTGCCAGTGTTAACGAAGCAATGGAGCCCATATTGGCCATGTACTGTGCATGGCAGCCATGAGGAGCACGAAGGGTTGATCCAACTAAACACAGTGGTTGCATCAGTGATTCATCCTGAACAACCTGCACCGGAGTGGCATTGCAATCAACAATCATCCTAACCCTATTCTGTTTAAACAAAAACCTGGAAGCTTGAGGAATGTCAGTAGCAGGATAGTGTAATCCAATATAGGGCTCTAAATCTGGCCTTTTGCTCTCGGCCACAACCTCCCCATGCTCATCCTCATGAAACTTATACACCATGACTCGATCATACCCGGTTAGCTCCCTCACACTCTCAACCACAGTATCACACAAAAGCTTAATATCCCCGCCGGGAAGTGACTGCAAGTGGGAAATTGCCCTGACAGCGAGCTTCTGAGACTGTACAGCGCCAGCAATAGACAAGGCAGGGTCCTCAGTCCTAGCAGGCTCCAAGTCAATCACAATTCCAACATCAATCCTATGCAAAATCGCGTAAAAGGGCTTGCCGGAATTCTTAGAATGAATCCAAATTGGGTTGAGCAAGGTGATCTCTCGCGCCCCAAACGCGCGTTCAAGCAAAACTGAGCTGGAGGGCGTAAAAAGGGTCCTCAAATCCGTCCCAATCGTGAGGATTTCAGGCCTCTCGAGGCTGGGAACTGACTGGGGCGTTAAACCAAGCATTTCGCGGGCATTCTCGCTATAGCCAATGACCCGAAAACTGGGCTCGTCCACCGCAATCATACACCCAAAGGGTTGAATGTGACCCCCTCTCTGAATTTTGGACAAGTAGGCGGTGATTTGCTTCTCGGGAACGCTCTGGGTAATAGTCTTCACAGATTGGGAGTAATCGAAAGACTTGCCAGACTCGCCCGACAGCTCGAAAACGGCGTGCAACCTAGCATCCACAGTGTACTGCGCAACAGCTTTGCTCACTGAATCGCGATAATTAACATTACTTGTACCCGAAGATTGAGCTTGATTTTGCATTTGCTGCACGTGTTTGGACTTGCTCCCTGACGCCATACTCTTCTTCTTCTTCTTCTTCTTCTTCTTCCTTCCACCACCGACTCAACAAAACTGCGGCTGCCTCTCTCTCTAAAAATAAGAATTCATGGAGAATTTCGGTTGAAAAATAAAATACTATCAAAGAGCATCTGGGGAAGACGCCAAGTGATCATGTTTTTGTTTTTGTTTTTTTATTTCTTTATCTTTTGGAAGTGTTTCGGACTCATTATTCATTAATGAGGCGTAGATAGAACTATAGAAGTGTAAAACCCAAAAAAAAAAAATAGATACTCTGATGCTTCAACCTTTCCTCCTTTCCCTTCTCAATTAACTTTGATTTTGTAAAAACAAAATATTCCCTTAGTACAGTATATATTTATATTTCGAAGATGCTTATGTCAAAAATTAAATTAAATTAAATTTTAAAAAAGATATCAAACAATTTTCTGCATATATCATCCATATAACCCGTGAGGTGGAAATACATGTGGAGGAGGAGAAATGATACCCATTTCATAATACAAGTGTAGCATAATGATTGGTTGGGTTGGGACTTGGTCCTGACTCCTGAGTGCGTTTCACCGCCTTCTTTTTATTTTTTCTCATTTTATTTTTAAATTCCTGAAAGAAAAATACGGAGTAATATAATTTGGCGTGGCAAATGGAAACATAATATAATTTGTCTTCACTCTTCTCTATGTTATAACTCAAGAGTGAAAAAATCAGTTTGATTGGCGTGAGCGGTCGTGCGCGACAGACATCGTTTTATTTGTTACAATTTTTTTTTAACACTTGTGTTTATGTATATTATGTTAAGAGTTTATGCGTATTATGTCAAAAGTTTATGTGTATTCTATTATACAATTTTGTACACACGAGACAATGATTTTTTTTTTTTTTAAGACGACTTGAGTCAGGACGCCCAATGCGTTGTGCGTCCTGGTAGCCCTCTCGTATGAAAAAATCAATATGACCAATACTTTATCCCTTAATTAGACCGGCTCAGTACAAACATGAATTAGTCTGAATATGGTAAATATTTAAATGCGTCTTCTACCGTTAGAAACTGTCAATGACACCTTGTGGTCTAACTCAAAAAAAAAAAATAACTCGAGAGTAAAAGTCATTATTAAAAAAATAAAAACTTTAGAAAAAGGATGTATGTTCAATGTTGGTCCAATTGGTGGGGGCAATAGTTGTCTTTTCCCTTTCAGATCACATTCCGTCCCACGTGACGATCGTACCATAATTGAACCCTACATTTTCAATCACCAACTTTTTTTTTTGGAGGTACTATTCCGCTACAATAAAACGTTAAAGAAAATTGTAACTATGTTCATCCATAATATATCAATTATTAATGTTACTTATAAATTATTAGTTATGTAAATATTGTCTCTCAATTTTCAAAATAGTATATATATATTGTTCCTCTAGTATAAACGTTGTCTCTCAATTCTTCTCATACAATATGAGAGAGGCAATATATGTCCTGTTTTAAAAATTAAAGTGCAACATTTATATTAATAATAATTATCATGGAAGGACATCAATTACAATTTTTTCCTAAAACATTATAATACAAGTAGAACGAACCTGGTAAATTTTGTTTTTAATGGATCGACAACATATTTTGGGGAAAAAGCAATTACAGAGTAAAAATTATTTCCATGTATCTGTATAACAATCATGAATCTTTCATTTAGTATAATCCACACGCCATTCTCTTTGTGCAGAAATTACAATAGGAAGGAATAATCAAGTACTTGGTACAAATAGAAACACATGGGATGAGATGGTAATGGATAACCCAAAATATTCCGATTGAAAATGCTTGTTTGCACTCACTTGGTGTATAGAACATCTTCCCACGGGTGGCGGTACAGCGGCTGCTTTAATCTCTTCTGGTCAAACGTGTGCCTGAAATTAAAACCTCTATTTGTAAGGACTATTGTTGGGTAGTTTGCAAAGATATAGTGGATAAGGTTTTAACTTACCCAATGAGACCAATGGATCGGGCCAAGACAAAGAGGCCGTTAAGGTAACCAATCTCCACGATTTCATCGATTTCTGCCTTTTTGAACATTCCACTGCCAGCCAGGAGATCCAAGAACAGGGAACCAATGGCACCATCCACGTTAAGGACTAGGTTGTTAGCCTTTGAGAGGGTGTATGTCTCAACCTCCACTGCATATTCCATGTATTTTACACTAGGGAAATTTTCACGGGCATAACGTTGCAGTAGTTCCACTCTCTTATCTCTGTTGTCGCCCCTCTTGATCCTATTATCATTTACCAAACAAAACAAATATTATTTTTGTACCATTAATTAAATTGGTGTTGCACAATGCACATGCATCAAAGTAAGCAAGCTTCTGATACCTGTGACCAATTCCTGGCACTCGAATGCCCTTCTTCTTCATACCTTCCACGAATTCATAAGGTGTAAGGACCTGTAATTACCACACAACACTGGGATAAATTTTGACAATTTCATATGGTAAAACTGATAAATAATTTGGCTCCTCTTTGAATGACGACTTGAGAGCATTTTGGATTCACTGACCACTAACCCTGTCATACGCATCCTTGAAGTATCGAGCAGCATCGTCAATAGCCCCACCAAATCGGGGACCAATTGTCAGTAATCCTGTTACCAAGCAACATTACTAACTACTAAGTACGGAGTAGTTACTCATACAAAGAAAGGCTGTAAATGTACCTGAAACAAGGCAGGACACTAGATCTTTTCCTGCCCGAGAAGTTACTATGGTGTTGTGGGCACCAGAAACACAAGGACCGTGGTCAGCACACAACATTATGCAAATCTGTTTAGTCAATGGCACACCAAATAGATGATTCGCTTACCTTGCAATGAAATTGATGAGAGCATTTCAGATATGAAGTAGAGTTGAGAGATAAAATACAAGAAAATACCTCAATAAAACGAGAGCAGTAACGAGGAAGGCTCCGTTTGAACCACAATAGAGAAATGACATCACCCACACCTAATCCCTGTTCAATGAGAGAGAAAATGGGGACACCAGCATAGCAGGGCTCTTCACCTACAAAATTGAGTAAAACCAAATTCAGGGCCTTGGCTTTTACTCACCCACCAAACTCCAAATCACCAATCATTACTAAAATATATGCATGGTGAGATTATACCTCTTTCATCACAGATGGTAGTAATAATATGAGTTGGCGCACGAACTTTCCCACTCTTAATTGCTGTATTAAGATCCTCTGGAATTTGTGGAGGTACCACTTCCTTTACAGGAGTAATCTTGCCTGCTTCAACCTACACATAGCAGTAACAGTTATTAGCAAAACTATCACCGGAACAGAAGTCAATTGAGTAACATTTCCATCTGGAATCCGGCACTTACCAACTTCTCAAATGTTTCTTTGATGGCTCCTTCAAAAGCTTCATATGAGGTTGGAACTACAGCTCCTGCATCCCTAAGTGCTTGATTCTTTGCTTGTGCAGACTCCATCTCACCACCACTCTTTGCTCCCTGTATAAAGATTAAACCCATACAATTTAGGGAAATGCACCTTAATTGGAGAAATAAGAGTCAAGAATGGAATAAACCAGGAAGCACTAGCTCACCGCATGTCCAAATTGTACTTCTGACTTGAAAAGCCTTGCACAAGTTCCACTGACCCAAGCAACCACTGGCTTGTTAATTTTTCCCTGTTGGAGGGCTTCAACTAAGGAGTATTCATCCCGTCCACCAAGTTCCCCAAGAACAACTATCATTTTGACCTAAAGTTCCCCAAAAGTCAGAATCAAGCAAAATAGGCAACATGTCTTGGAAGGATTCAGAAGCTAAACCAGGTTTATGAGTACAAAACATCAGAAATCATGCATAATTCTCCATTCATTGTTGAGCCATAAATTTGAACAGAATTATACGGACTAAACCATTGAAACTCCACACCTAGTTGATTCAAGACATTAGGTATGAAGAATTGATTCCTTCCAAAGATTTATAAACTTCTGAACATTACAATGCTCATGTTTTAGATATTCCCCAGACAATCACTTTTTTGTTCAGATGCTAAATAGGCAAAGAAACAAGTGCAGTTGCACTAAAATTTAGTATTTCATATTCCGAGCCAGATATAGCATAATGTTATGTACACGGGCGAACTGACGCATCACAGGGCGATTAGGGTTATCAAGGATTGTTTGGGGCTTGCCTATGTTGAGAGATGAATTAAAGAACAAGATACTAGGAATGTTATGAAAGTTTTCCCACCTCTAGTTTTATCTAAACTTCTTGCTTGCTTGCCCTTTTATTAGAGTGAAAGTCCCCTAAGACTAAATAAAACATTAAAAAAAAAAAAAAGGAAAGGAGAATCATTAAGGTTCCTTACCATAATTATTCGCTATCTCTAAAGGAACTAAACCAATTCTAATAACAAATATATTCTAGAATCAACTAGTCAATCAATAACAAAGATATTTTAGAATCAGCTAGTCAATCTCCTAATTTCTTACCATGATTTTCTGAATCATAACACATAAGCAATGCAACTCATAACTCAAAGCCTTTCAAAAGTGGTTTGGCACAAGTGAATTACCTGTGGAATGTTGTTAAAGCGCAGAACATGGTCAGACAGTGTAGAGCCAGGGAATACATCCCCTCCAATTGCAATACCTGCAGAGATAAGAAATTAAATTTTGTGTTTATTACAACATAACTGTGCTAAGGCATCTCAATAGTAAATAATCAATGCCACACCTTCGTAAATTCCATCCGTCACTCGGGCAATGGTATTGTACAATTCATTAGACATACCACCCTGTATTTCAAAAACAAAATTATTTAAGGAACCATTGAGGGTAACTAAAAAGTGTTGTTATCATTCTTAATGATTCAATGATGAAATAAATTGCTAGGATGGGAGTGAGAAAGTTTGGACGGAATTCTTTTCTTTAAATTTCTGTGTTTGCTTCATTATTTTAGAAGAAAACCTGCAGTGTAAGTGTAGATTGCAAATTAGATACATTGGACATTATCAAATAAGACTATCCCCTATGATTACTTACAGATTTGGAAACAAAGCCAACAGATCCTGGTCTGTAAAGCTTGCAATGAATAATGTTATCAATGGTCCCAGCAGTGTCACCAATTTTAAAAGCTCCAGCCTGAATTCCTCCAACCGTAGCTGGACCAATAACTACCTGAAGCGATAATGAGATGAGTTAATAATAAACTATATTGACCCAAAATCAATCCTGACAAATAATGACTGTTGATGGACAGAGGAAGATAAAATGAGATAGCTTACCTTGTTGTTTGCTTTTGCATAAGCAATCAACTGCTTGGTGTCTGACTCAGGAACACCTTCAGCTATGATAGCCACTACTCTAATGGTTGGCTGCTTGAGAGCAGCCATGGAGGAAGCAGCAGCACTGCAATTCATTCAGGAAGGAGATATAAGAAACATTATAACACTCCCAGTTTATTTGGAAGAGGAAAACAATAAACCAGAGAAAAATTACCAACCTTCTAAATGATGCAAAGTTAATTAAAACATCAGCTGTAGGATGAGCGGCACAAGCAGCTTCGATGCTGCAGATGGGTTGAAAATTTTGCAAAGGAAAATTAGAATATGAAATTCCGAACCACTCCTTACTTAGTGTTTCAAAGCAACAGACTGGTAGACAATGCGCATCATATAGTTTATGTGCATGCAAACACTGCAAAGCTGTAAATGACGTTTTTCCAAACCAAAGTGTTCTTGACATTACTCAAAATTGGTACATCTAAAATTTGAAACTTAAAATCCCATTAATAGCTGCATCATGAAGCCAAAAAGAAATATTCAACGTATTTAAAACGTAAATTGTATTTAATAAAAGTTCCTATCCATCCAAATGAGTATTTAAAATACCATGCAAGTAAATATAATAATAATAATAATAATAATAATAATAATAAGGCAATAGAAGAAATTGGAAATGAAACAAGACACACCCTGGATGGACAGGAATTGCAATCTCCTCCTGACCGAAGAAGAGTTTCTGGAATCCTTCCGAACCAGGATTTATAATTCCAGCAACGGAAGGAGTTTCCCTCCCTGATAATTGAATTTAATTAACAATTTTAACAGTGATGACATTGGTTGAGACTCTATTTCCTAGAAAGTAAATTGAAGAAGAAATATAAGATTTTATACACACCACAAAGGAAATCAAAATCAAGCATCCGTTGGATGGGAAGTTGTTTGTAGTTGTAGAACAAGGCTTGAGTAGTCTTGGAGAAAAGTTGTCCAGTTGCCATGGTGCCCATTCAATCCACAGCTGATGAAAAGTACAATATCAGCACAAGATCTCCCAACATGGCAAGTCATCATAAGTATGATTCACCAAATTCCACCCTACCTAATTCTAGTTGCAAAACATAAAACAGAACATCAACCAGCAAAATCTTAAATTTTGTTGGATGACTTTAAGTCATTGTGTTCTATGTACTAGGCAGCTCAGGTATTGGTTGCTATGCCTTCCTAGTTCCTACAAGTATTAGAAGTATAAAAGCCTTGTAAGAAATAACAGCTATTGAGATCATTGCCATCCGTACGCATGGATATCACTATAATTCTAAACGAAGTAGATCCAAATTGTGGTTACTTTTAAAATTGGTCGTTCATTCAGTCTAAATGGGAAGAAATCACAATTTTTCATCATCCCCGCGCAAATGGACTATGCTAAGCGCCAACATTATTTAAATCAAAGATCAACTCCTAGACCCAGAAAAGAAGTGAAATTAGTACTTCAATAAAAATGCAAAGCGGAGTAGCGAAGCATTAAGTTGATCAAACGATGAGCAGCCCAAACAATTGAAGCTCAACCAATACTTAGATCTTCCTATACAGTGCGAACAAAAACAATGCACATAGTAACACTAGCAAAAAAAAATACCACTCCCGAAGCCCGGAGGCCATGAATAGATCCGTTTCATAGCCTCAGTAAACACGATATTACAGCAGATTTACACTCAAAAACGGCGTTTATCAAAAGAGGAAACAGACAATTCGCGTAACGACTCCATTGAAATGCTCAAATTAAAACCCGACAACACAAACGAGTGGAAAATAGACCTGAGCTTTGAAATGAAACGAATCGCCTCTTAAGCGCAGACAATGTGAGTGGAAAGAGGGAGAAGAATGATTGATATACAATAGCCTCAATATTCAATAGGGGAGGAGCAGCATGTATATATACAGAGACGCAGATGCAGAGCTAGTAGTAAAGTAAAATATGTTGCAGTGAGAACTGAGACGACAGTCGGTGGCGCGATCAGTTAACTGCTTTTTCTTTAAAATGAATATTATTAATTATTAATTACTGCTTTAGGAAAACAAAATTGTTACGGAGTAACATTCTACTAATTGTCTAATCCCCTAATCAAGGAAATGATTCTTTGTTGGTACATCAACAAGTAACAAATCATATCATTTAGATATTAATTCGTCACATTAGGACACTCATGCATCAAGCTGGAGTTGATTTCTTAACCCAATATGAATCCTAGTCAAGATTAGTAGATAAGTGCACACCTAAAAGACTTTTAAAATCTCTCAACCATATATTTTAACTATTTTTTTTAATATATATAAATATATAATCATATAGTATTGTAAAACGTTTTAAGTGATAGTAGCCAATTTTAGAAATAGAATAATTTTGTATTACATTTCTTGGTGTCATATATTTTCCTATTAAAGTTGCAATCATTATTGTGTGGACCATGGTCTATACAAGTTGTGCGAACCATTTTTATCTACTGTAAAATAATGTACATTCAGTATAAAAATAATGTACATTTAGTACAAAAATAATGTACATTGTATTCAGGGGATGTACATTATTTTTATTCTGAGTGTACATTATATTGTACAATGTACATTCAGTACAAAAATAATGTACATTTAGTATATTAAAAATATACTTTTTGTTATGGTCCACATAACATTGTGTGGACCATGGTCTACACAATAATTTGCCTTAAAGTTGTGACTAGTTTAGTAAAGACAACAACAATTTGAAACTAAATAAATACAATAATTATTTGCAATTATATAATTCATGCACAATTCTTCTTAATTTTCCTTTTCTAAAAAGTTATATGTCCAAATATCTGTTTGCTGATTGAGTTAGTGGTTTGACTAGTTGATAGCATTAGCCGATTGTAAAAATATGTTTTTAAATTAGTTGTTAGCTGATTAAATGCAAAATGACTTTCTCAAAAAGTAATCGTAATTTAAAACTACTTTGAGCTGTTTTTTGAATTTTAGCGTTTTGAAGCAATAGGCTGTTATAAAAAACTAATTAATCAAACACTCAAACAACTAATAGTGATCAAACAAGCCAAAATTGAGTAATAAACTAACTATGTTATCAAACACAGTACATATTTTTTTTTCCATTAAATGTGACATATATATTCCCAGAATATCCCATACCAAGAACCAACATCAACGTCTAGGTAAGAGCAAAAAGTTATGGTGGTTGGGAAATGAGTGAGTTGGTAACCTATGCTTAGCGTTCTGTCTAAGGAACGAAGATTGTGCATTATTATTATTATTATTACCAACCAAAAAAAGAGAAAAAAATCGAAGAAGTGCAAATATTTCAAACCAGGCATCATAAAAAAAGTGCAAATATTTAATATAAGATGTCTGCTAAGAGCACGGCTTCGATTATTTAATATCATTATTTTCTTGAATGTTAATATCACACTCATTTCTTGGATTTATGGTCTTAAAAAAATTATTTTACTTTTCCATGGAATGCAGCGTATATGAAAGCGACCCAGTGTTATGTCATGAATCCCATGATAAACATTGTTTTTGAAGTGTCAACAACAACAAAAAAAACTCTATTTCTAAGAGCACAAAGAAACATAACATTTGACAGTTCCTACCAGACTAAGTGATTCCTCAAGTGCCTGCAGGAGTTGCTCCGGATGATCTTCAATGCAAGCAAGTCCATGCTGAGATTGCATAGAATGCAAAACCTTTCCCACAATCTGAAGAATTAAGATTAGGCACCCATGTTGGATCTTGAAACATTATAGGATCTAAGTTAGATAAGCCCTATTTTATTTTTTCCTCAAGAACAAGGACTAACCTTCCGCGCATAGCCTCCAAACGCTACGCCACTGATCAAAGCATTTCCTGAACTCAATGAGCTTGTGAAATTTCCATCATTTGATATATCTGGATAACAGTGAAGAATCTAAGGTGAAAAGTGGGTACGGTTATCGTGAAATTTGTAGTCATTTAGGAGCTAAGTTTGATACCAGATATGGTGGCTGTCTGGAATAGCCTGGCCTTTTTTAACCCATCCACTGTATGAGCATTCGTACCGCCTGCCAACTGAAGGAAACCTTTTGGTCTGTCTCCAGCAGAGGCCAGATGTAAAGCGAAAGCAATTGCTTCTCTCGTGGCACCTCGCCCAATATCTCCACTCATGGGCCGCCCATCTAACTAAACTTTGCAACATATGATTATCCAGAAATCACAATTGGCTCATGTAACTTAATTTTTTTAGCTACTTTTAATCTTGAGATAAAAGGTTGGTATATACCTGCCATAAGTTGTAGCAACGGAGGTTGGTTTCCATTATGGAGTACATGGCATTCATTGCAGATACTGCTGAATCCTTGATGTCGGGGAAGCTAACCTACAAATTAGAGCAATTGCATTATAGAAGTTTAAACGAATCCGATCCAATCAGAATATTAGGTGTCAAAGACAATAAAGCAGATTCTGGACCATACTGCAACAAGTCGCAAACTATTGATGGAATCCCCTAAACTATCCCAGAGTTCTTTGAAGGCTGCTGGTACCCTATATAACGAAAACAGCAAGGTTATGAATTTAATTTAATAACTTTTGCTAGATGGAAGCTCTCCGATCAAACTATTTGCTACTTAACTGGTAACTGAACAGACAGATATCATCATTTTACCACAAATCATGATTCTTGAGTCAAATGTCCTTCCTAACGGACTAAACTCAATCCTCTGATATCAGAAGTGAACATTTAACCAGGAAAACCGACAAAATGTTTTCAGTGCTACCTTCCATTGGTATGAATTTCAAGTGCATCAACATCATCCCGTACCAGAAGTTCAGCTACAGCAGTGGCGTCTCTTATGTATGTAATTGCACCTAAATTCACATATATAATATCCAGCATAGCAAAAACGAGGAGTAAGAACATATATGATTCAGACTGATATAGGATGTATTTCAAATTTTCAATAACTAAAGCTGAAAAATGAAACTTGACACACTTATTTTGTCATATGGACAAACAGGGAAGCATCGACCACAGCCATAGCAGCGTTCCACCACAACACCCTGCAGATAGATATGCACTTTAATTAATTTCAACAGCCAGAAACACGTAGGTTCATGACTTGAGAGTACAAAGAAATCAAGAAATCGAACGAACCTTCTGCTGACCAGGTTCACCATCTAGTGATATTGCATTAGCGGGACAAACATTCTCACAGGGTCTTGAACAATCCACTGGACAATCATCAGGATCGAATTCTATAACAAAAATAACAATGCATTTTAAGCATATTTCTTTAAACTCATTCAGAATTTGATGTCTGTTTGACATAAAATCATCAAGTCTGTCATCAGTTAATCAAATATACACTTTCAAGAAATTACTTAAGCTAGCAAAGTGTTACCAGCTTTACGAAAATGAACATCTTTATCGTCGTTGACACTGATCATTATCCATGGCCTCCGAATGGGAACAATAGCTGTTGCCGCTCTTATCCCTTCGTTCACAGCATTGACTACTGATTCCTCAGCAGCACAGTCAATGCAATCAACTGCACAATTCAATAATTAAACAGACGAACCACAAAATCCTCCCTAAAATAACAATTCAAAGACGCAATTTTCACCTCCGGCAAGAGTGTAGACAAGAGAAAGGTTCCTGACATCAACCACATCCTAGAGAAATAAGAAGGAAAAACAACTAGCACGCAGTTATGCGTCGGTCGGGTGAGAGCCGTCCGAGAAATTAACACAAGGAAAAGATAAGACGTCTTTGAAGAGGAGGACCTCAAAGCTAGCACCACAAATGAGCTTGACCCAGTTTCCCTTTCGCAGCGATTCAACTGGGGAGGCTGAGATTGAAGGAACAACCGTCCTTGAGACGAGGGTTTTCACTCTGTCGAGATTCTTCAGACACCCGCAGGGATTCAACTGAGCTGCAACGGCGAAAGGAAGGCAATTGTTCAATGATACTCAAACAATTTGCAGTCATGCACATATCTGATATCTACACAGAAAGAGAGAGGTAGACCTTTAGGGATTCGACCGAGCTTAGCAGAGCGAAAGATGCTCATATCCATTACTGAACCACAGCCTTATCAGAGATATCCGTTAAATCTGTTACTACTAGATATCTCTCCTTCCTCGGACTATATATATTTTCCCATAAAATCTAGTTTCACCCTAAAATCACGTGAAATTATGACAATCTTATAGTTTAAAAAAAACAATACAAATGTACAAGCTGCTATGGAGTATTTTCTTTTTTCTTTTAATGCATATAAAAAAAAATTGTATTCTTTTATACTATATTGGGCTGAAAAGCCCAATAAAATTGGGCCAACATAATGGATCAATGTTGGTTGGATTTGGATGAATTTGTAATTGCGTCCAAAGATGGAACAATGGATCATGTTCCACGTAATCAAATAATGCAATTTAGGGGTGTAAACGAGTCGAGCCGAGTTCGAGCTCGAGCTCGTTAAGGAAGGCTCGATTCGAGCTCAACAATTTTTGAACAGCTCGAGCTCAGTTCGAACAACTAGATTGTTTGAGCTTAAATTTGAATTTTATTTTGAGCTGGAGTTGGGACTCGATTTTGACCTCAAATTTGAGGGAGTACAATTTTAATTTTTAATAATAATAATAATAATAATAATTATTATAAGGCTCGCGAGCGATTCGTCGAGCCACGAGCATAGGATATGAGAGCTCGGCTCGAGCTCGATAAGTAAACGAGTCGCTCGAGTTCGGCTCGAGCTTGATTTTGACTGAGTTTGAGCTGCTCACAACCGGCTTGGCTCATTTGCACCCCTAATTCAATACACAAATAATATATTTTTAATATATTAAAAATATATATTGTATCCAAAAAAAATTACATTCTTTTGTATAATATATTTTTAATATATTAAAAATGTATTTTTTTTTATAGTTCACACATCACTATGTAAATTATTGTCCACAAT